TCCCTACAAAATCAGTAGGTTTTTTCATGATGCAAGTTCAGGAAAATCCCTGAAAATTCTCCCTTTTAGACTACTGCAGATAAAACTGGATAGGAAACAATATCAATCAGGCTTTCCAGCAAACCTGATGCAGGTGGTGAACTTTCATTTTGATATTCTTTTTGAAATTATTTTTCAGCTTTGTCTGTCCTTTTCACAGCTTCTCTGTTAGTGTTTTTTAAGATTGACTTTATTACTTCATAGCATCATTAAATTTTTTGCCCTACTGACAGGAGGTGTTGCTTATCAATCTGCCTAAATACTTTGTAATTAATTACTGCTTTAACAAAGATTTCCTTTTTACCTGCAAGCCATTCCGTAGCACTTCCCAGAAACAGTTGGGTCACACATTAGTTCTTGCAATATTCTGAGCTGTTTTTCAAGTAATTTTCAGCTTGGCTTAAGAGGGACAGAAGCTATTGATTTCTCTCTTTCAGTCTTCCTTTAACACTCATGTTGCATCTTCTCGGACATGGAGCTATTAATTAATTTTTGGGAAGGCTTTTCAGATTATTTTAATCAGAAAGAGAAGTTGAGATATATGGATGTGAGATTTATTGTTGTTTGTAAAGACAGAGCAGGCAGTTCCTTCTTCACAGAACACTGTAGAAAAAGAAGCAGAGAAAACAAGAGATGGTTTCTATGCTTTCAATTCAGGTCTTTCTAGACAGCCTTGTGTCTGACAAATTTATCAACTGTTTTTTGGGGTTTCTTTATAAAGTCTTTTCTGTCTGTCCTGGTTTTCTGTACAGTTTTACACATTGTTTTTTCTCCCAGTTCTTTTCACACTCACTCTCTTGCTCCCCTTCCTACACTACAAGTAGGGTCCCATTCTGTTAGTTTTCATTCAGGTACCAGGAGAGGATGATGTGGTTCATATGGCTCAACACCTATTCCAGTCTTGCATTATTTTGGACAGTTGTATTTATATTTCAACCGTCTGTTCCATGAAGGAGATTAATTGCTTTTATATGTAACTTCTATTTACATATAATTATAGAGTTTTCAGTGTCTGATGACAGAAAGGAACACAGGTATCACCTAACTGGACTTCTTTTATTCACAGTCTCTCTAGTGTTTTTCAGAAGTTGTGCTAAAGCAGGTATTTTTGTAAAGATATCTTCTCCTATTTTAGGATCGCCATATAAAATTAATCTACCATCTCTTGCTAGTAACTTACTTCAATAATTGAAAATGGCATGTAGCTCACACCCTCGTGGCTCTAGACTGTTTTGTTTAGTTTCATTCCCTCAAAGGCAAGAGTAAAAATGATGAAACGAGCACAAGTTCACAATACTGGAGACTTTTTTTAAAGGTTTGTTATATTAGAACACTTTCTATATATATATTCTTCTCAGTAGTTCCATCTCCTGAGACTGAGGCAGGGAAAAGGCTTTTTAACACTGGAGTGTTAATACGTGGTATAATGTAAGATACGGAAATGAATTTGTGGTGTATGATCAAGTGTCAATCACGGAAATTGAGCTTAGTTGCTCAAGACTGTGTGTGCAGGTATAGATAAAAAGTGGCAAGATAAAGTGAAGGCTGCAATTAAACCTTTAAGGATAATTAATATTTTTCTTTAGACACATTGTTTGTAGTAAGCAAAGAAACAGAATACTACAACCAGCAGAAATTCTGGTTTATGATTAAAATATCAAATAAGTCTTTGAGAGTGCAGAAAATTGTCCTTCAGGGCATTGACCTAGTGTCTACAGGGGTCACTCAGCTACCACTGGAACAAATTCCAGACTTTGCCATGATGGCAAGGAATTGTGCAAATTTGTGTACTACCAGAACAGAGTGTTCTGATGACTGGCCAGATGATAGCAGATGAGCCATGGCACTGCTACTAGGGCTACTGTTTTTGTCACTTCTGTTTTGCATCAGTCTTTGACTTATTTTGAGGTGAAGAATTCCTCTTAGTGTTTTGGAATGAAAAGACCCATCTGCACTGAAGAGTATCACTGTTATTCTCATTTCACTGTTATTTATTCATTCTCTCTCTCTCCCCCTCCCTCTCTCTCTTTTATTTTGCAACAATTTGTGTGCACATTTTGTTTTCATTATACTTCAGTAAAAGTTTTATCCTTAGAGTTCCTCCCTTTGTTTTAGCTAACAAAGTTCTTCTATGCTTCTTTCCTTCAATCCTGTTTCAACTTTCTAATACTCTTCCTTCTCTCAGTTCTTACTTTAATTATCTTTCAATTTGTTGTATCTCTGTGAGGCTTTCTGTTTAGCTCTCTCCTGTTTTCCTTTGATTTAAATCAGCACAATATTATTTAATATTACCAAATTCTGTTTTCAGTCTGAAGGTTTCTGTTTTAAAATTATCTTAATGAACATCTTGCAATAAATGAATTTAATTTTTGTTGTCCCTTTTTTTTTCTTTTTAGTTGAAACCTTTTAGGTTGGTTTTCTTCCCTTTTGCTTTTGACTTTCCCTTTTTTTGTTCCTTTCAGTCATGGATATATCATTACTCTACTGGGAAAAAAAACTTGATTTCTTGCTTATTTTCTAAGTAATCATCATATTTTCTTAAAAGGTATATAGAAATCAGTCTGTAGGAGGCAGAAATCAGC